AAGAATCACGTTAATTTGCTATTAATGCAAAATAATGTATCCTTAGCAAATTTATTTGCTATCGAAGCAAAACTGCAATTGCTCATATAAATCCATCATAGTTCTTATAGCAAAATAATTTATAGATTCAGCAAATTATATCTAGCAAATAGTGATTAGTACTCTTAGCAAATCTTTTTGTTGTCCATATAATAACGAAAAGATTTTGCTAGACCAGCAGGAAATTTGCTGGGCCAACAAATTATTTTTCTCCGTGTACATACCTACGCGGCCAAATTTATTTTTTAATTAAAAAGAATTTATTTTTTAATTAAAAAGAAACTGCTATTGTGAGATTTTCGTAGAAATTCTTAAGAACTGAAAAAAATTAAAAACTAATTGTTAATGATAGAATGCCAATTACGAATCAATTATGATCCTTGCTAACCATTCAAACTTCTTGCTCTGGAAATTATTAATTAAACGAGATCTACTTCAACATCGTTCTATATCGTTTTATCAATATCACATACAAGTATCTCGACAAAAGGCATTCTCTTTGTATCTTTGATTACTCTATCTTTGCTTCCTACAATACGATATCTTATCCCCGTAACTCATTAACACGGCTTGAAGCAACGAATCTAAAATAAACGAATAACAATTACTAAAATGTGGCGATACATTCATGAAACGCATACAACGATAATTTATGATTTCTTTATTCGCACGTATGATTGTCTTTTTCATCAGACATTATAGAACTTACGTTTTAGGGCCTTGCATTACACCGAGCATAAATCGGATCTAAGTCAATGTCTATAACTCGAAGATATACCGTTAACATTAACATAATTTATTACAGTTACGTAGAGATCGATCGTGAGGCCATCATATGTATGTACACTTAGGTTGTCAGCATGCTTGTTGGCGAATATTTCCTACCGTATGTGACTTTTTTAAATGTCGTCAATAGTCGTCATGACATCCAGGAAAAACATACAATCGATTATCCTTCGATATAGTTTGCACCGAGAACATTTGGTTTCCAAATTTTGTATTATTTGTACAATTTATTATTGTCTTTCTAAATAAAAGACGAAAGGGAATCCTGTTTCGAGTTACGTCTCTTCCGCTTTCCTTCCGCTTTCCTTCTTCAAGATGCTTTAATAGTTCTTAAAAGAACCATTAAAGATAGATGGGCTAAACGCAACTCAGTGCACGTGACTAACATAACGAATAATGCCAAGGCGGAGCGATGCATTTATCCGATAATTTTGCCATTATTTTCGGCGTGACTTTATTTGATTTTCTGGTTTTTGTGTCAACGCTCTCGGAATCAATTTGCTCACTTTCCTGCTTGAGGACATCCTTGTTGAATTCCTTCATTGGGTTTCAGCAGCGATGATTTCAAATTTTATTTTGGATTGCGTCTTTTTGGAAAACATCAGTAATAAATAAATGAGTCCAAATTGAACACATGCACGGAAAGACAACATATAACGGATACTTATCAAACGATCTTTGACAATTATCTTAATCATTGTCTCACGATACGCAATTTGTTTATGAGATATTTTCCATAAATAAAAACTTGCAGGTTTTGATTCGTTAACAACCTCAACGTCCTCCAACCAAAATTATCGTAGCTCACCTTTCTATAAAAGCGATCAATGAAAGAATAAGAAAAGAACAGTACTTACTCTTGTACTTGCCACCGAGCATCGCAGCAGAAACTAATTAGACTATAGTATCTTTGAAGTAAATTTCCAGATCAGGAACGAAAGTTAGATGTTTCTGTCTTTAGATTTGCAAGGTTCTCGATTGTCAAAACACAAGTTCCAAAATTGCCAAATGCAAAAAATCCAAAAAAAGAGTTCCAAAAGATCAATGGAGAATAGAGAGGTAATCAATCAGAACATCAAATAAAAACAGAATTTTCTACATTCATAATTAGCAATCGCAGTGCAACTCGTATTAAGGTCGTGACACGTGTTCTCAGAAAACAAGTTTCAAAAGATCCACGCAATACATAGATAGATGGATTATCAAAAATTCACAATCGAAATTTCAATAACAAGACAATACAATCATAACAAGTAATCATCATGCAACTCGCAATAACGTCACGGCATTAGTTCTCGGAGCAATAAATCACGAAAGTCTGATACGACTGAAAGGTGAGATTTCAGGTGTATGAAACAAATTTCAAAAACAAGAGCCTCGTCAAGTTTCAAGTAAGCTATTGCTGCACAAACTACATTAACGTAGCGTTCTCGAGAAATAAGACCCGTCTCGAGAAATAAGAAAGTCTGACGCAAGTCAGAAGGTAAAATTCCAGGTACACGAAAATAAAATTTAAAAAACAAGAAGTTGTAATAAGCATTTGTTACGCAAGCAATAATGTATTAACGACGCTTACGCGTTCTCGAGAGATAAGCGCCGAAATTTACCTAACTTGTGCAACTCGCATTAGCTTCATACATTTTAGAATTATTTATTCCGAAAGTTATAATATATTAGGGGGCATGTAGTACCTCACTCAACAATTTCGACGAGCGGTCTACAGGACGCAACTCGATTAAAATATCAATTATATTTCATGCACAGCAGACATACGAATTACGGATATTTCGTAAAATCAAAGCAACATATCACATAAAATACATACAATCTATAAAAAATGTAATACAAATCTATAATCATTTAAAATCTATAAAATATATTAATGACAAATTTTTTAATATTTTTTAATGTTAGAAATTATTGAAAAGAATGATTAAAGAAAATAAATAAAGAAATCAAAATTATTCTGATAATTTTCACACCTCTATATGAGAGCCTTCACGCAGAAATTGCTATAGCTGTATATAACGTAAGACGTAATGTAAGAAATGGCCAATTGCATTCGAGTATTCTCGAAGATGGCGACTTTATAATTAAAAAATGTTTAATACGATTGACCAATTTTTACGGGACGTAAGAATTATCCTACCTTGTTGTATATTGTCCTCTATCCGGATTTTCCAATCGAACGCTAGTTTCTGCTTGTTCCATCATAGCACTTTGAATATTTATTTAAACGCGATGTTGCATCCTAACTCTCGATTGCTCCGTCGAAACACCTGTCGAGAATATTCACTTGTGACAATAACATGGATATGACGAACTTTTCTTGGAACTCGCAACTGCTCGTTTTGTGGTTGTTCACTTCGGATACCCACATAGCACGTAATATATATAATATTACATACTATGTGGGTAGTTATTTAACAATAAATATTTCGTCACGATGAACGCGCGAGATCTACTTTTGGCGCCATGTCCGCACACATTGGTTGCGTTCAACAGAGAAAGCTGCTTTGCAACTGTTGTAAAATTCGTGAATCTGATTGGTACATGCTCTTGGATTTAACCAAAATAAAGAGCATACTCCAATTCACGAATTTTACAACAGTTGCAAAGCAGCTTTCTTTACTGAACGCAGCCAATATCCTTCAACAAATGGATGAACACTTGTATTACGACGGACGCACGATACTCTTCTCGGAATTTCCGACTGCCCGTAGCGTAACATACATATTCCGGGTGCTTATTTGGCGATATTTCGTCACAACGAACGCGTAATACTTACTTTCGGCATTCCCACCGATGATTTGAAGACGAAACTCGCATTCGACGAGCCGCAATCACAACAACGGGACAACTCGTAAAATACGTTATTTCTGTTAGGGCACAATTCGTTTTCGGTCAGTATCGCCAACTGAGAACATTTAACACAGCCGAACGCTGTTGGCCAGCAAATAAAGGATCTATTGGATTCGTTATTTTTGATTAGCTGAAATAGTTTTTAAAGTCTCCGCTAAGGGCCACCACTTTCCAGTAGAGAACCTCTAAAGTTCTATGCACAATGCCAGGCAACAGACAATAGGAACAGACATTAACTAATAGGAACAGGGAATAGAAATAATTGACCAATATGATTTCCTATTCCCTGTTCCTATTGCCTATTGCCTGGCATTGTGCATAGAGCGTAATACAGAGAATCGCCAACTTGGTCATGTAACCAGCTACTCAGCTACTCTGCGATTGGCTGGCATAAACATGTACGGATTTGGATATTGCGACGCCAATGCAGAACAAATGCTTATATATATATATATATATATATATATATATATATATATATAAGCATTTGTTCTGCATTGGCGTCGCAATATCCAAATCCGTACATGTTTATGCCAGCCAATCGCAGAGTAGCTGAGTAGCTGGTTACATGACCAAGTTGGCGATTCTCTGTATTACGCTCTATGCACAATGCCAGGCAATAGGCAATAGGAACAGGGAATAGGAAATCATATTGGTCAATTATTTCTATTCCCTGTTCCTATTAGTTAATGTCTGTTCCTATTGTCTGTTGCCTGGCATTGTGCATAGAACTTTAGAGGTTCTCTACTGGAAAGTGGTGGCCCTTAGCGGAGACTTTAAAAACTATTTCAGCTAATCAAAAATAACGAATCCAATAGATCCTTTATTTGCTGGCCAACAGCGTTCGGCTGTGTTAAATGTTCTCAGTTGGCGATACTGACCGAAAACGAATTGTGCCCTAACAGAAATAACGTATTTTACGAGTTGTCCCGTTGTTGTGATTGCGGCTCGTCGAATGCGAGTTTCGTCTTCAAATCATCGGTGGGAATGCCGAAAGTAAGTATTACGCGTTCGTTGTGACGAAATATCGCCAAATAAGCACCCGGAATATGTATGTTACGCTACGGGCAGTCGGAAATTCCGAGAAGAGTATCGTGCGTCCGTCGTAATACAAGTGTTCATCCATTTGTTGAAGGATATTGGCTGCGTTCAGTAAAGAAAGCTGCTTTGCAACTGTTGTAAAATTCGTGAATTGGAGTATGCTCTTTATTTTGGTTAAATCCAAGAGCATGTACCAATCAGATTCACGAATTTTACAACAGTTGCAAAGCAGCTTTCTCTGTTGAACGCAACCAATGTGTGCGGACATGGCGCCAAAAGTAGATCTCGCGCGTTCATCGTGACGAAATATTTATTGTTAAATAACTACCCACATAGTATGTAATATTATATATATTACGTGCTATGTGGGTATCCGAAGTGAACAACCACAAAACGAGCAGTTGCGAGTTCCAAGAAAAGTTCGTCATATCCATGTTATTGTCACAAGTGAATATTCTCGACAGGTGTTTCGACGGAGCAATCGAGAGTTAGGATGCAACATCGCGTTTAAATAAATATTCAAAGTGCTATGATGGAACAAGCAGAAACTAGCGTTCGATTGGAAAATCCGGATAGAGGACAATATACAACAAGGTAGGATAATTCTTACGTCCCGTAAAAATTGGTCAATCGTATTAAACATTTTTTAATTATAAAGTCGCCATCTTCGAGAATACTCGAATGCAATTGGCCATTTCTTACATTACGTCTTACGTTATATACAGCTATAGCAATTTCTGCGTGAAGGCTCTCATATAGAGGTGTGAAAATTATCAGAATAATTTTGATTTCTTTATTTATTTTCTTTAATCATTCTTTTCAATAATTTCTAACATTAAAAAATATTAAAAAATTTGTCATTAATATATTTTATAGATTTTAAATGATTATAGATTTGTATTACATTTTTTATAGATTGTATGTATTTTATGTGATATGTTGCTTTGATTTTACGAAATATCCGTAATTCGTATGTCTGCTGTGCATGAAATATAATTGATATTTTAATCGAGTTGCGTCCTGTAGACCGCTCGTCGAAATTGTTGAGTGAGGTACTACATGCCCCCTAATATATTATAACTTTCGGAATAAATAATTCTAAAATGTATGAAGCTAATGCGAGTTGCACAAGTTAGGTAAATTTCGGCGCTTATCTCTCGAGAACGCGTAAGCGTCGTTAATACATTATTGCTTGCGTAACAAATGCTTATTACAACTTCTTGTTTTTTAAATTTTATTTTCGTGTACCTGGAATTTTACCTTCTGACTTGCGTCAGACTTTCTTATTTCTCGAGACGGGTCTTATTTCTCGAGAACGCTACGTTAATGTAGTTTGTGCAGCAATAGCTTACTTGAAACTTGACGAGGCTCTTGTTTTTGAAATTTGTTTCATACACCTGAAATCTCACCTTTCAGTCGTATCAGACTTTCGTGATTTATTGCTCCGAGAACTAATGCCGTGACGTTATTGCGAGTTGCATGATGATTACTTGTTATGATTGTATTGTCTTGTTATTGAAATTTCGATTGTGAATTTTTGATAATCCATCTATCTATGTATTGCGTGGATCTTTTGAAACTTGTTTTCTGAGAACACGTGTCACGACCTTAATACGAGTTGCACTGCGATTGCTAATTATGAATGTAGAAAATTCTGTTTTTATTTGATGTTCTGATTGATTACCTCTCTATTCTCCATTGATCTTTTGGAACTCTTTTTTTGGATTTTTTGCATTTGGCAATTTTGGAACTTGTGTTTTGACAATCGAGAACCTTGCAAATCTAAAGACAGAAACATCTAACTTTCGTTCCTGATCTGGAAATTTACTTCAAAGATACTATAGTCTAATTAGTTTCTGCTGCGATGCTCGGTGGCAAGTACAAGAGTAAGTACTGTTCTTTTCTTATTCTTTCATTGATCGCTTTTATAGAAAGGTGAGCTACGATAATTTTGGTTGGAGGACGTTGAGGTTGTTAACGAATCAAAACCTGCAAGTTTTTATTTATGGAAAATATCTCATAAACAAATTGCGTATCGTGAGACAATGATTAAGATAATTGTCAAAGATCGTTTGATAAGTATCCGTTATATGTTGTCTTTCCGTGCATGTGTTCAATTTGGACTCATTTATTTATTACTGATGTTTTCCAAAAAGACGCAATCCAAAATAAAATTTGAAATCATCGCTGCTGAAACCCAATGAAGGAATTCAACAAGGATGTCCTCAAGCAGGAAAGTGAGCAAATTGATTCCGAGAGCGTTGACACAAAAACCAGAAAATCAAATAAAGTCACGCCGAAAATAATGGCAAAATTATCGGATAAATGCATCGCTCCGCCTTGGCATTATTCGTTATGTTAGTCACGTGCACTGAGTTGCGTTTAGCCCATCTATCTTTAATGGTTCTTTTAAGAACTATTAAAGCATCTTGAAGAAGGAAAGCGGAAGGAAAGCGGAAGAGACGTAACTCGAAACAGGATTCCCTTTCGTCTTTTATTTAGAAAGACAATAATAAATTGTACAAATAATACAAAATTTGGAAACCAAATGTTCTCGGTGCAAACTATATCGAAGGATAATCGATTGTATGTTTTTCCTGGATGTCATGACGACTATTGACGACATTTAAAAAAGTCACATACGGTAGGAAATATTCGCCAACAAGCATGCTGACAACCTAAGTGTACATACATATGATGGCCTCACGATCGATCTCTACGTAACTGTAATAAATTATGTTAATGTTAACGGTATATCTTCGAGTTATAGACATTGACTTAGATCCGATTTATGCTCGGTGTAATGCAAGGCCCTAAAACGTAAGTTCTATAATGTCTGATGAAAAAGACAATCATACGTGCGAATAAAGAAATCATAAATTATCGTTGTATGCGTTTCATGAATGTATCGCCACATTTTAGTAATTGTTATTCGTTTATTTTAGATTCGTTGCTTCAAGCCGTGTTAATGAGTTACGGGGATAAGATATCGTATTGTAGGAAGCAAAGATAGAGTAATCAAAGATACAAAGAGAATGCCTTTTGTCGAGATACTTGTATGTGATATTGATAAAACGATATAGAACGATGTTGAAGTAGATCTCGTTTAATTAATAATTTCCAGAGCAAGAAGTTTGAATGGTTAGCAAGGATCATAATTGATTCGTAATTGGCATTCTATCATTAACAATTAGTTTTTAATTTTTTTCAGTTCTTAAGAATTTCTACGAAAATCTCACAATAGCAGTTTCTTTTTAATTAAAAAATAAATTCTTTTTAATTAAAAAATAAATTTGGCCGCGTAGGTATGTACACGGAGAAAAATAATTTGTTGGCCCAGCAAATTTCCTGCTGGTCTAGCAAAATCTTTTCGTTATTATATGGACAACAAAAAGATTTGCTAAGAGTACTAATCACTATTTGCTAGATATAATTTGCTGAATCTATAAATTATTTTGCTATAAGAACTATGATGGATTTATATGAGCAATTGCAGTTTTGCTTCGATAGCAAATAAATTTGCTAAGGATACATTATTTTGCATTAATAGCAAATTAACGTGATTCTTAGGACAAATACACTCAACAAATTTTTTCTATTCTGGCAATGAAACTACTTCTCCTCTGATAACAAATAATTTGTAAAATTAGTTACGCCAACTAAATTTTTTTGATGTCACTACAAATATGCAGTAGCAACGACGATTTTGCTAAAAGAGCAAAATCATTTTCCTCCATGTAATTCTACTTTTTTTTACACTCGTGTATTGTAAAACTCCTGTGACCTACGTTACACAGAGCATAAATCTTCGACAACGAGCTGTCGTCTGAAACTCCTTAATCGATGTTTCTCTTACGTCTAACATACACACTCAATATGTATCAGCTAAAATGTAAATGCAACTTGATCGCGGGTACGAACTTCGTTTAGGTTTACTTAGAGCAGCGTTAGTTAGGTAGTTGCTTCTTTAAACGGTCCGCATTTATAGCGCGATACAGTGCCGAGCATGATCACCTGGGTTTTGTCCATTTCACGGTTCACAATCTAGCTATATCAGCTATTTTGTATCAAGACGTCAGAAACGAGGATTTGTTCTATTCTATTCGCGCATAATTGAGGAATCGAATCTCAAACCATCGTTAGCTTTAAATAAAGTTTGAACGTTATTGGTCTAAAGACATTGTCATTGAAAATATGATACCGCAAAAAAATTTATTTTAATATTCCGTGTGGAATGAAATAATACGAAATATCAGTATTTCTTAAATCGATTTATCCTACTTTTACTATAATCTTTCTAATAAAATGTATAATTGAAAGTATAGTTGAAAAATGTATTCTGCATCTTCAAAAATATCTTCTAGGATTACATGACGAAAATAAGGGAAATCAGAGACAGGTCAAACAGACTTAGCGATATTAGAATTACCACGATTCTGAATCCAGATCCTCAATTTTGATGATATGGATAATGATATGGAGGGACTCGCGATATTCATTCACTCGCACTTTCTCGCATTTAACGTCATAATATAAAATCGTCGAATGCTGTATCGTGTAGAGTTCTCATGCACGGTGTCTAACGAAGAGAAAGGGCCGAACCAGACGGTCGCTTTTAGCGTTGTTACGGGCGCGCCATAAACGCGGACGTGAGAGTGAATCGAGCGCACACGTTGTTCCGGATTTTTGTCGCTCGTGCGGCGACCTATAAGAATTTTTGGTTTATCGTGATGAGGGAAAACGCTTGACGAACGTTGAACTGCGATGGCGTCGCCGAGACTGCGAGCGACCTCGAGGCTCCCGGAAGCGGCCGATAGAAGGAAAGGAGTACCCGATATGAATACTCGAATACGACGAAACACTGACGGATGAATATCTAGACAATCAGTCTTCTTTTTATTTTTAAGAAAGTTCAAGAGAAAGTGAAAACTGAGAACGCAGTAGAAGCGGTTGGCTAGTGACTCGCGGCGAGCACAAGTAACTATATTTTTGGAATCGGAGATAAAGTTTTCTCGCGAGACTCGGGTACGAGATGTGACGCGACGCGGCGTGCTACTCCCGACTCTCTCCTCCTCTCTGTCTCTCATGCGCGCTTCCGCATTCGCGATATGTGTACGAATTATTACTCGAAGTTGAGGGATATGCTTCTCATCGCATGGAAAAAGAAACGCAGCACGCGCGCATCTGCATTCCTATTTACATAGTATGGCTGGATATTTGCGTCGCGAGGGTGGTGCGAATGATCGAAGGGGTGTGCGTTCCTCAATATTGCATGAGCTCCTCCAAATACTCCATGTAGTCGTTCTCCGTCATCTCCACGTCGTCTTCTGGCCGATCGTTGGTACTCCGCCGTCTCCTCACCGCCTCGCTCGTCACCTCGATACAGAGCAGCGCGAATTTATTGTCGCATGAATATCGCACTTGTTCCAAAAGCCGACCGCCGGTCAATGGCGAGCCCAACCCGTAGCGATCCGAGCTGCTCGAATGCCAGGCGTCGCAATAAGTATCCATTGCTCGGTCACCAAGTTTGTGAGAACCGTGCCACGCAACTTTCTCGGGCCTGAGGGTAAATCGTGTAATTAACTAGTTAGCCGAACCTTTTCGTCTGATACGAATGCTCTACGGCCCGTTTTAATAATTTTTACTTGACATTTGTTTCACATAAAATACTGAGATCTGAATTTCAAATTTTTACTTGAAATATACGATATTTGTGACATTAGACTTGTAATTGCAATTCCACTGAAAAACTTATATCTAACTCTAAGGTCCGCAATTAATAATCTTTACTTGAAACTTGTTCCACGCGAGATACACAGATATGAATTTGGAGTTAGATTTGAATTTTTTATTTAGTCACACATAATATATATGCGACATAACATTTCTGATTGCGATTTAGTTGAAAATTCACATCTAATTTTAAGTTCAAATCAGCATATCTTACCTGATACAAGTTTCAAGTAACAACTATTAATACAGGTTTAAATTCAGATTTGAGTATTTCATCTGAGACAAGTTAAAAAAGAGTAACAACTATTAATATGGATTTATATGTGCTTTCTTTCTATTTCCAAGAAACATTTAGCACGAAAAACAGACTTCGTTGAATTTTCTGCAGTCTGGGGACCAGGTGAAAACTCGATTGTAAAAACAAAAAGAAACTCGTACGAAGTTTCTATTCAATTAATTGTTCCTATGAATCGAGTTTTAATATAACACTCGCTAAATGTTTAGCGAGTGTTTTCTTAGCGGTAATAGAGATATGATGTCTCATGATTGAATTTTCATCTGTTCCTTATGTTCAATTATAAAAGTTGAACATTTTTTTCTGTACGAAATTAGTTTTTTCCGATATCTACACGGGAGAACTAACAAGTTATTCTCGCTTTTGATCAATCTTTTTTGCCTTCTTACCACGCAAAGTCGGTGAGGATGTTTTTCCCATTAAAGCTGTAGATTCTGGGATTTTGAGAGAAGTATGCGCCGTTTCCGTTGAACATCTCCTTCCAGGAGTTGAACAGCACGTCACCCTAGACATTTTCAATCGTTTATTTAGCAGATCGTTCGATTCAACAAAAACACGCGTTGCGAACGTATATTCTTATTTGTCGTAATTACCTTTATATTCACTATAGGGAGATCGCGGTCTCCCAATCTGACAATACTGTCGACGTTTTGAACTCGAGAACTGAGAAAGGCGCGGAAGGTACCTCTCAAACCCGCTCGTCTTGCTTGTCGATAGCAAGCGTAGTCAGCTCCTCGTATACCGTGCATATCTCCAGTGAAAGGCTCGTTCAGTGCAGCCATTCTCAACTAAAAGTCATAGTTTCCATCTGAGAGGACATTTTTAGTCACGCTGATATATAGTATAAATTGCATAAATCTATCTCCATACTATTAGTCAACACATATATGCATTATTAAGAAAAATATAAATAAAAGGACAAATTTCTTTCATATTGTCATTCTCGTTCATCGCGTGATCTTGAAGCTTTTGGTCTCTCGTCGCAGTTATCTTGATTTATAACATCAGAAGCGAGAAAATACATATCAAAAGTTCTTGCAAAAAATACGTTGAAATAAAATTATATGTTCACAAAATAACACTTGCAATTATTCCAACAAACCTGTAAAATAATCCGAATACTTTTCTTTTTCTTTAACAATCTGTAAATAGCTTTAATGCGATAAAATCATGAGAAAAGGTGGATTAAAAAGAAAAGTTATAGATTATATTAATTTTACTGATTGTTAGAGCAACAGAAAAGGAGACTATTTTACAGATCTGCTTGATCGATTGCAAGTTATGATCGATTGCATTTTATGAACACATCATTTTATTCAAACGTGTTTTGCAAGAATTTTTAACGTATATTTTCTCGCTTCTAACATCATCAATCGAGAGTTTTGCGGCGAGGAGCCAGGAGCCTTAAGAGAAACATTTCGTGTCGTGGATGAAAAATTAAATATGGTACAATCTCACCATTCGCGGATACCACTGCGGCAGCATGGAGCAAAGAAATGACAAATTATATTTGGGACTGATTAATTCCTACAGACGCGCTTTAGATGTGATATGAACCGCTTAAGTTGTCAACTTACCCCTGTCCCGTCGGCTTTCACGGGTATTTGGTTAATCAAATTGGATGCTTCGAAGGGAGGATTCGCTGGTGGCGGTGCTGTCGTTGGCGGTGCGGGCGTTGTAATAGGCAGTAGTGAGCCAAGCTGGAAAACAGATCAGAAAAGATTCGATTTTGGCACACTTACAGGGGGACGATGAACTCGCGAGTAACAGCAAAAAGAAAATCGAATACTGACCGCTATGTATTGCCATCCGTTGTTAACTCTGACCAGCAAAGCCTGCTCATCTATGATGTAAGCCAGAGTTCCAACGGGACTGACACTGGACATCTGCGACATATGAAGATGATGAAGAAATGATTGATTAATTCAATATCCGAATAATTCAATGCTCTAAGCATGCAAAAGAAGAACGATTTTTCGACTAATTGGAGAAAGCCACCTTTGTCATAGCTTCTGTGTTTTGGAACGTAACAGCTCCTGGCACAATTTTCGTTGTACTTTCTAAAGGTCCTCTAGTAGCGGCAGTGGCAATACCTTGAGCAAAATGTACAAGTTGATGAAAAAAAATTAATAGATAGCAATGCATGTTTCATGAAAGAGTTACGAGTTCGCTGGATAATCATTCAAAAAAGTGGTTTTGCAGTTACACAACAAAAAATTATCTAGATACGAGAAATTAACTAAGATGGATATATGACTAATAAACATTGTGATATCGCATGTTTTATATTTAATCAATATAGATGACAGAGACAGAATTTCCATTTGAACTGTTTGTAAAATTTTATAAAAAAGTCTCTTTTTATGGCGCCCATCCAGATTAAAGTCAGTTGCACTTCTCAAATTGACTATAGTAGAGAAAAGAACTAGTGACAAAGAACAAACGAATATGACAAATAAATGTATAATTCTTATAACCCTTTAAATTTGCCGGTAAGCGGACAAAATCCATAAAAAGAGGGGACAGTGTTGGCAACGTTCAAAAGTTTCTAGGATCCATAAATTCATTTCTCAAGATTAATATCATTGTCGAACGGGTGAATGTACAGAGGTGTAGAGTTGTGACAGGTTATGTGTCACGGTATCAAAAATAAACATCACGGGAGTGAAGTTATGGAGACAGACATATTAACACTAAATTTTGTGAATCAATAGTTCTTCGTGCTATTTTGTGGAAGAAGAAGAAGAAGGTTAGTACCAAATGTCAAAAGTCGTAAATTTCAGATAATGTTTGCATCGAGTTCATAAGCGTAAAAATAAACAGTGCGACTGACTTTACCATAGGTCGTATTATATAAAAAAATAACGTTATCTGAAATTTACGGCTTTTGACATTTGGTACTAATCTTCTTCTTCTTCTTCTTCTTCCACAAAATAGCACGAAGAACTGCCGATTCACAAAATTTGGTGTTAACCTTTGTCTCCAGAACTTGTCACTCACTCCCGTGATGTTTTTTAGTTGTTGTTTAGTTTTGACACCGTGACATATAACCTGTCACAACTCTACACCTCTGTACACTTTCCCGTTCGACAATGATATTAAGCTTGAGAAATGAATTTATGGATCCTAGGAATTTTTGAACGTTGCCAACCCCCTCTTTTTTTATGGATTTGCCAACGTTGCTGTCCCCTCTTTTTTTATGGATTTTGTCCGCTTACCAATTTGCCTGAAAATATTGCTAGAATGCTGCTGCTATAAATTCTATATACTAGAGACAATTTCCTAGCGGAAATTAAGAAAACAGCGAAATCTTAACTGTGACATTTAGAATTCTATCTGGACCAATAAAAAAATTGTTTTTAGTGATTAATGTGTATTAATCACCTAATTGATCTTTCAGTTCTTTCAATTGCTTGAGTTCGCGCAGGGCTTTCAACTCGTCCAGGCTGCTTCTGGGTCCTTGCGGCATGCGAATATAAGATTTAATTACACCATGCCATGATCATCAGCGTAATATCGAACTCCTTAATATCCTTACCTTGCCTGACGCCATAATATAGATCTCTTTCGCCATAAGGGTTTCTGCCGATGCCGGGTTCTCCTTTCTGTCCGATCAAAGACAAGCCGGGCTGACCAGGTGGCCCGGGAGGACCTGGGGGTCCTGGAACCGGAATGTATTTCCCTTGAGATGGTGGTCCGGGAGGTCCAGGAGGTCCCGGGGGTCCTCTTTGACCGTCTCTTCCAGTCTGGCCAGGAATCCCGGGCAACCCGTCGTTTCCTTTGTCCCCTTTGATCTAGAAAAAGGTGTTCGTCGCGTGAATAGGTTTATGGTATTTTTCCGAGTGGCCGCGCAAGAGGTACCGATGTATTTTCAGTAGCCAACCCGCGCTATCAATCTCCTTCCTGCTGCATTACTGCACTCGACAGTCCGACAGGTAGACGGGTTTATACGGAGTCGGTAAATGGTAAGGTATTGCAGAAACAGGAGTGGTTGATTCGCTGGAAATAGCGAAGAATGAGATGCAACGATCGCTTAGGCGCATCACGTCGGCTTTCTGTCGACGTTATTCCGTTTCGTTCTTTTTCACAAATGTTCAGCGGATGGTTTACATGCTAGGCGCGAGAGGCATCCTGCCGATCGTGGGAAGGCGATATCGGAATTTCCTCTTGCCCGACTGTAATCCTTCTCTCTCCTTCCCCTTCTTTCGCTCTGTCTCTCTTCCCTTCCGCGAGACGCGAGACTCCATCTTTGTCGTTATCAATATTGTACTGATTATATGCCCTGAGGAAAAGATCTTTCGAGAGAGCGTGATCTTCATTCTTTTTTATTTATATATACTTTGTATCTTTATGAAATTTTTGTCAAAGAAACTTCCTTTTTAGTTGCATTCAGTCGATCTTTGCGTTCTTTCAGCAGACGACGTTGTTCAAAATTTTGCGTATACATGAGGTGTTTCGTGGGTCGTGTGCAGAAAACATTCGAGAAATTCTTTAACGATCTAAGTCGCATCTTTTCAATCTTTCTGCGCCGAATTTCATTCGTGCGTAAACCACGGATAAAATCCCTTCACTGTGACATAAAGGGAACCTAAATAAAACTGTATTTAATTGGAAAAAGGTACTCAAGAGTCGATCTCTCTCATTTGCATTTACATCGGTTACGCGAGATCTCAATCCGCGAAAGCTCTTGTCTCCGTAATTAGGCATTATTGAAAAATTTCGATCGGAGGCAAGTTCATTTGAAATTCATCGAAGCCCCAGAGGTAACGCTCAAGCAGCTTTGGAATGCTCTGTCTAAATTGTTTCGCAACGTTCTCTTTCCTCTCCATTCAGCACGATTGCGTGCTTGTTCCTCTCATAAGAGAGACGCGTTATCTCATTGTTGTCCGTTGTTTTCCGCGATCGACTTGCTCGATGCCTGCGCGAGTTGTTTACTTCATTGTTTACTTCGACAATTATCGCAAACGGCATCTCATTCATTATGACAACTACTTGCATGCGTTTGTATACATTTTGACAATTCCAATGTAAACAAAGAAAATTAAACACTATAAATAATGTATATATAATGTCTGGTGTTAATATTATCATATAAGATGAAGATATTAAATTATTGAATTGACAATATAACAAATATTTTTGAGTTCATTTTGTCTCGGCTGTAAGTGGCCTCGGGAATAATAACATACGTATGTGAACAATTGCCGAACTATCATAATATTCGTTAACGTGAAGATAAACAGATTGGAAAATGTCGCTCGCGCGCAGGTGATTTCTTTTTTTTCTCGATCGATCGAAATGCGCGAGACGCATAGTCACAGTATTTCTTACGTTAAAAAAATGAATAGTTGATTCAATGAGACTTGAACGAATTTTGTTTGTTCAAGCAAACGTTTAGTCGATTGAACGAATTATATAGCTGCTGTGATTATTTATATATATAACTCCTTCCCCCTATTGAAGGAGGAATTGCACTGATTGCCGTTGAGAGAAGTCACTGCACGAAGATTGCGGTATTTCGATAACGTGGGATGACCCAAAAAAAATTTAAAGATCAGTGGCGCACAGCAATGTACGTTTGTAGCTTCTAGTATTACACATTTCGCGAGTTCCGCGAACGCATCGCAACGAGCGTTTAAAAGCGATGTTATTTGGCCGTGTGTAGTTGAATACGTACAAACAAATGCGAGGAGCGCGCTATCGCGTATTAGTACGCGTTATTTGTCAGTTGTCGGGTCGTGACAGCTCGCGAAACTCTGTGCGCGAGCGGAGAAAATTTCTGTTTGGCGCGCGGCGAATAAATCCAGCGACGAAGACGAGGGAAAAAAAAGGTAAGCAGGGGCCTGAGGGATGCACGCCAGACGCACTCTTGCATTAATTTCCATCACTCGTGTCGCGCGACCCGTTGTTCAAAGACTTCCGCGTCGTACCGTTCGTAACAAGGATATATGCCGCCACTTTAATCTGTCAGACCGAAACGCCGCGCTCCAGGACGAGGTCGTCATTTTTATTTTCGCCGACCTTTTTCGTTTCTCCTTTGAAAACGAAGGGCGCGTCATTTCCGCGTTCGCGTTGCGTACTGTTAATGGACCGACACGTTACCCCGCGAGATCCCGTTTCGGCCGTCGCTGCTTCGTTTGGACCGTCGCTCTTGATTCTCGCTCTTTTTTTTGGCCCCTTGAATTTATACGTGAAGTTAGCGCGAGAAGTTTATACAGTCGACGGCCAGAGAGAGAAAGAGAAAGGGAGATGAAGAGTAGAGAGAAAGAGAAAGAGAGAGAGAGAGAGAAAGAGATGGGTAGAGAGAGATACCACAACGAGAAACTGGAAGTTATACTTACACCGACGGAAACACCGTAAGGGCTCGGTGCGCCGGGCTCCCCCTTTTCTCCCTTGGGTCCCATTGGTCCGATACTTCCCGGAATTCCGGGAGTCCCTGGACGACCCTACAGAAGACAGTGACAGATGAATTGCTCGTTTGCGTTTTAATTAGCGCGGGGGGATTTGGATGTTGTGACACGGCCAACGCGTAATAATCTGATTTTGATCTGTGTTTAAACCCGTTCCTTCGCTCGACTTTGACAGCTAAATTCGACTCTCATATCCCACATATACGTGCGCATGTGTGAGTATAATGTAACACGAAATACTGATATTCGCAATTATTTGGCGCAGAAATTCTAACGAACGCCGTGTCAGACAGAAAGAGAGACAGCCGTGAGATACGTGTCGAATTGATGCAGTTTGATAATCGTGACATGTAGAGCTCACCTTTATTGTGTTCTTCGGTTGGCGTTGCGAAAGAAATAAACATAATATCATTTTAGAGGTGAACTATGTCGGTACTTCAGAACGGGGTATATGCATGCTCGACATTTGCTGTCGTCGGCAGCGCATATTATATCATGATAATTTAATATCGTCAATTGTATATGGGTTATGTAATAAGTAATTTCGAGTTTATTAGACAAAATGAAACGCTTATATCTTTATATTGTTGTAATTTTATGAAACAATACGTGCCTTTGATCTATGATCTTCTGTCATTTTTCGTACACATTGTTTTATAACAATGATATAAAGATACAACTAAAAGATATGACAAAAAAAATCGATCTTCATAACAATATAAATATTTTCCAGATCAAACGAAATGCTCGTATTTTTGTGTTGTGATTTTACAATGTATTCTTTCGTTTTATCTGTACGACCTGTCACTCTTGATATCCTGTTGATATCTTGTGATTATGTCATTCTTCATATACATTGTTTTATTTCAATAATATAAAGATATGATGCAAAAAAATTGATACAATCTTCATGACGATATAAAGATACGAGCAGCTCCATTTCGGAAATATCCGAAGTCACTCATTGCATAGCACAATGTCACACCAATAATATATATCGCGGCATACTTATATAAGATGTAAAATAGTGACTGAAAAAAAAATATTTGTGCGCATTTTCTTGCTCTGTTCTCGTTTCAAAAAGGTATAAAAAATATAATTACTGTTTCATTTATTTCGTGTAATATAGAAATGTGTACAAACACACGCACGCACACGTGTAGTGAATTAAAATACGTACCATCCAACCGGGTAGGCCGATTTCTCCCGTGATTCCAGGTTTTCCAGGCGGACCCACAGGTCCGGACGGTCCAGGTCGTCCTCTTCTGCCCCGTTTCCCTTCGGCGCCTTTCTCGCCTTTGATGGTGACGTAGTCGCCGGAACTGGCAACAGTAGTGGCTCCAGGAGGGCCTCTTTCGCCTCTCTCGCCCTTAGCGCCAGGCGTGCCTGGTGATCCAGGTACGCCGTCTGTACCGGGCTCGCCTTTATCTCCTTGAGGTCCTTGAATGCCGTTTATTCCGGGAATACCAGCTGGGCCGGCGTCACCCTTATCGCCCTTCTCGCCCTTCGTGCCCTTATCACCTCTGTATCCTCGCGCTCCGAGATCGCCTTTGTCGCCTTTCGTGCCGAATCCTTAATTAAATAGTATTTTGGACGTCGCCCATTATATTTCGAGACGCAATGGATATCGAGATGTTATTTTAGTAAAGGGGGATCATCAATAATAATTCGCAGTCCTCAATTTTCGTGATAGAGTTACACGTAATTATTTTACAAAATATTAATAAAAATACAGAAATTATCTACAGTACAGTTTCTGACAATACTCTTTTTCAAAGTCTTTGCAACTTTATATGTACACAGAGAAAAAGAATATTCTTATTTAAAATATATTTTTATTTTTGACATGTTAATTTGCAAGAATATATTTTACATAATACTAAGATAAATTTGATCGTATTATTAAAAAACAATTTTCATTAATGAAAAACACAAAAATATTGGAGAATATGATGTTCTTAAATGTTGGATGAAAATATCATTATCACCAAAATAGTATCGCGTATTTTTCATAAAACTATTATGATATTCAAGTAAAATTGTAACATTGTTAAAATTCAAGATTTCAAAATTCTTCTAACAAAATTATTGCTGCTTATACAGGGTGTTGAAAAAAAAGGGTCACATATTTTGATAGCAGGTAGTATTGATCAAAACAAGAAGAAAATTTCTAATTAACATGGGTCCTAAGACTAATATCTTCTAAGATACAAGCTATTTTGTTATTTGAGCTCTTTGTCATTTTCTTATTAGTCGTGTCATCTTTAGAATGTAATGAACAAAGGAGTAAGGGAGAGTGAGGTACAATGGGGATATCTTTTTTCTAGGTGCTTTAAAAAATAAAAAATTAACAAAGAGAGATAAAGAAACAATTTTTATTTTAATATGAAATGTAATCATTTATCTTCCATAAAAAACTGAAGTAAAGAAACTGAATGTATGATAACAAAATAAAAACTCTTTTTTTACAAAAAACAAAAAATTTTAATGCTGACTCAGCATTAGAGGAGGTGCTCTATGTGATTGCCATTCACTCTCACGCATGTTTCAGCCCTACGTCTTAGAGAATCACGCACTCTAACTTCATTTTTCTCTCCTGATATTTACGTTTAGTTCGCAATAGATACTACAAGTCAAACGACATTGCGTAGGCCTTAACGAATGTGAGCAGCCCTAGTAAACAAAAAAGTGTTTAATTTTTTATTTTTTAAGGCACCTAGAAAAAAGATATCCCCATTGTACCCCATTCTCCCCTACTCCTTTGTTCATTACATTCTAAAGATGACACGACTAATAAGAAAATGACAAAGAGCTCAAATAACAAAATAGCTTGTATCTTAGAAGATATTAGTCTTAGGACCCATGTTAATTAAACCTTTTCTTCTTGTTTTGATCAATACTACCTGCTATCAAAATATGTGACCCCTTTTTTTCAACACCCTATATGTACTGAGAGAAAAAAATGGTTGATTTAACTAGAATTATATTTTTTGCTCCACCCATATTTTTTGGTTGTTCTAACACGCTAATAGTAGTAATAACATGGATATAAGGTTATTATCTAATATTACTAATATTATAGTAAAGTTTAATAAAAAATAGTTTCCTCAACCATAATTCACAGTAATAATTTTTCTATGCAATTATAATTACGAGTATAAAATATTTTTTTTTCTCAGTGCATGAAACAATGGAAGTTAATTTAAGTATATTGGTTTCAAGTGGATACTAATCTTTTTCTATCTGTTTCACGAAGATAATCAAAGATAAATGATATTATGTACAAAGAGCAATAAAAACTAAGATCGCCATTGAATAATAAAAAATAATAAGAAATTAGATCTCCATTACATTCAGTCCATTAACTCACCCAGATCTCCGACGTTTATGCCGCCAGAACCACCCGTGCCGGGTGGACCGGGTGGTCCTGGAGATCCAGGTTTGCCTTCAGGTCCTATATCGCCCTTATCACCCTTCTCAGCTGGCCGTCCGTTCTCGCCGGGCGCTCCAGGCAGTCCGGGTGCACCGGGTGCACCGGGCTCACCCTTGAAGCCTTGAGTTCCTCTGGGACCTTCTTTGCCATGATCGCCCTTGGCGCCTTTGTGCCCAGGTTCGCCCTTGATACCCTTGGAGCCGGTTATCCCGGACTCACCTTTTGGCCCGGGACTTCCCGATGTACCCGGCTCACCCTTTTGTCCCGGCAATCCCGGCCTCATCGTGATACCTTCCGTCTGGTTTCGACAGATAAAGATTCGAGAGATCATGTTACGTTGAGCAATAGAGAGAAAGAAAACTACGAGAGATGTTAAATAAATGCGTCGTGTTGTTGAGCAATCGTCCCGGAATATTATTGTTTGCGATAAAGACATGAATTATTTAATGTTGTGAAGGAAAATTCTGCCTAACGCAGAATGGTATTCACGGCGCAATCAGAATGCTCCAGTCCGTACTCACCCTGTAAATACTTCGAGGTTTCCAACTGGGCTGCATGCGCATAATAATCGAAATTTCCCCGTTAGATCGTTGGAATAACGCCGCGAAACTGAAAGCCTCGCGGCCGACCCAACATTACCGTCTGCACGTTTGCATCGTCATTGATTAGCAACGAACAATCGTCGCGCGAACAATTGTTGATAGCGCGTGATTCGCGGCTGCTTTATCGTAAATCGAATCGCGGTAAAATCGTAAGTGTCAGTCTCGTTCTTGAATGCGCGAATTTCCTTCGCTACCTTCGCATGATTAACACTTTCTTAAACATAAAGTAAGTTTTCAGACATGCAGAAAGTAATAAGAAATGAACTCCTTTTTAATTGAGATGTAAATTACTTCTAAAACCTTCTAAAGAGAGAAAGAGAGAGATATTTTACTCGTTCTATTATTTCTTCTAACATTTGTATTTCCATCACACTAATGTTTGTTACAAATTATCTTTAGGCTGTCTCTCCTTCCAAAATACTTGTTTCTCCATAGGACATTGTTGTTGTTAACAGACATGTAGAATAGCTTGTAAGTTAAACTAAAATTCACGACATCTTTTATACTGATGTTCTTGTTCTCCAGAATCAGATAGATTATATCGTCCGGTAAGCTTGTTACGTTGATCATTGCGAAAGAAATTGAAGAACAAAACAGCATGCGACTTGCGATACATTATATATATTTGTGTGTATTTATACGGAGTATAATTTTATACGGAGTATATATATATATATATATATATATATATATATATATAAGATTCTATATAATTTTTTATATATGCAGTAAATATAACTTACATATTTCAAAAATTGCATATCTACTGAGAGAAAAATATTTAAGAAATAGTAGATATTTATTTAGTAGGTAACTAACTATAGATATTTATTTAGTAGGTAACTAACTATATAATAACATATTTATTTTTTTATTAAATATATATAAGTATATAAAATATTTTTCACAAGTAAGAAAATATACATTTTCTTAAAATCTTAAGAAAACTTTTGTTTTCCAATGAAAATAATTGTTTATGCTATTTAAGTGAAAGAATTTTGATTTATAAGTAAATATGTTATTAGTACCCACCAAATAAATATCTACTAAATTTTTTAAATATTTTTTTAATAAATGTCTAGGCATTCCAAAATTTTCATTTTTAAACAGAGATCTCTACACTTTATCGTGTTCATAGATACTTTATATCTTGATTTTAGATACTTTATATTTTGTTGTGCTTAGAATAGTTTCGCGTAGAAAACTGACCAGCGATATCAACAAATCTCGCGATATTTGACGTGTAATTTCTAAAGTCAAACAAAGTACGTTCGCGCAAAGATTATTCTTAATATTTTCTCCTTATCGTCTGTATATGTGTGTATGTGCATCTGTCTGCTTTTTGAGGTGACTATCCTCTTTTTCGCGTTAGTACGGCATTTCGCTATAAATCATGTCGTCGTGTATACCTGTACATCAACGCCAACGCTCGTTCCCCACTACTCGTCATATCTATTGAGAGCTTCTCACGAACGGTTTTAAACTTTTAGACTTCTTTGGCCATTGATAGAGCAGAGCGGTGCTGATGTACACATGTACAGCTCTCTGCCGCCTTTTTTATTCAACATTCGTAAGAATATCCGCCCCTCGATGAGATTTTGCGAAAATTATTCGCGAGAGTAATGTTCGTTCTCGTTTTGCGAATAGTACGTTGTCCGGAACGCATATATATTCGACAAATACTAACAGCAATAATTCACTTAATTAATAACCGGCTGTGTAAACCCTTAATATTAAATAACTAATATCGCACACTGCATTCATCATTCCCGCATGTGTTAATATTTCACTAGCCTTGTTCGCGCGCACAGACACAGCGATCAAAATTTCCGCGGGTCACAAAATTACACGACTCCTGCGTCCCGCATTTCTCCCCTTCGTTTTCAGTCGTTTTTCCTCTTTCCGCTGGAAATTTTCGATCGCGGAGCAGAGGGAGTTCCACTTGCTCGTGTATTGCACTCACTCACGAGTGCGCCTCTATTTTAAAGCAGTTCCTCGCGGTTACAGCTCGCGGCGTGGCCTTAATACAGTTCCCGAATTTCCTTCTACTCCATTCCGTTCGTTCGAATTCCACCCCCCGATCCGATCGTTCTCGCACAAGCGTCCGCCGCCGGAGCAGGGTGCGAAAAGCGAGGATACACACGCGTATATATACATGTATACAATCGAGACGCGCGAGCATCTCAATCGAGAGTGTACTGGCCCCGTCTTCGGCGACGTTCTAGGATGCAACACACCCGCGCATCTCCGAGCCTCCCTTCGCCGTAGCGGGCGTGCCGAGCAGTAGGCAGCCTAGAAATTGGTTTCTGTATTCCCCGGGGAAATCGGGCTCTCGCACATTCGAGGAAGGACCGGCGCGCGAGGTCACGTAAGATAACCGTGGCAGTGTGCGTGTGTGTCTCTTTGTGTGAGTGTGCCGGCGCGCGCGAATGTCTAAGTGTCTGTCTTTGCATGAACCCAATGCTGACGAGACGAGGCTGGTCGTTGATCCTGCCGTGAAGTGTCTGGCTCTTGTTCACGTGTCCCCGCGCATTCCGAACTGTACTTATATGTATCTACCTATCACCTACCTAGCTACCTACCTACTTACCTATCTATCTATCTATCGTATGTACGTATGCACGGTCCATTTGGACCTCATACTGTCGTGATCGATTTCGATGATGATTGAGCTGCTGCCGGTCGAAGCAACTCGGGCAGATCCCCTTTATTGTCCGATATCATGGCGCAATAACGCAGAGGAGATTCCGAACGTGCCGCTTTTGCGTTCGGGAGCGAACTGTGATATCTGTGTATGATGCTCAAGAGGCAGGATTCAAAAATTGATACGCCTCTTCAGGGCGAACAACGAAATTGAGGCAATATTCCGACCGCCTCGAATGAATTCAGCAGCACGTAGGGCACACCGCGCGAGAGCTCGGAAGAAGGCATGTCATTATTTTAATCTTTCAGCGTCCTCTCAACAGGTGCCGCGACGTTCCCGTTCAGAAAAGGGCAGTCGCCTTCAAATTGGTTTTGCCGTTAAAAAGTAACGCGGCGCGAATGAGCCGTCGTGCTTATTTGACGCGTCAAATTTTAATTCGGAGCTCGTCGAGCCGGTCTCCGTAGTCTCGCTAGAGTGCCACTTCCCGTATAGTCGCTCGCGAAATAGTTTCACGTCATTGCGGGGAGAAGATTAACAAACAAGCAGCGCGCTGGGACTGAACAATCCATAACATTATACTTGGACATCACCCGCCCGGCTTCTTGGGTATCTTTATCAATGGAATGCACCAACCGGCATTAGCTAGCAGCGCAGTCCCATTGTCTGCGGCATCCTGCACACGCGACGACGTGTATATCCGGACGGCCGCTCGTTGTGCCGCAGTTGCAGCTCGCGGTTTTCCCCGCAGTCGAGCGAAGCTGTGAGCTTACGTCGTTTTGTCACGTCGTTAAGACGTATGTCTGGTTTACAGTCGCCCGAATCATCGATATTGTTGCGCTCACAGCGCCGGAATTACAACGCGTGTACAATAGACGTGTGAATAGACGTAGTCTAATTCCCCGAGTCCTTTCTCTCGCCCTCTCTTACTCTCTCTACATTTTGTTAGAACGCAATAAATCATCCGTAAAATGTAAGGAATAACTATTACAGGGAACAGAAGATGCAAAACATCCTCTAGTCTAGAGCAAATATTAAATAGCACAAGGCAATAAAGTAGGTCATAAACGTTGCTCAAAAGAGAGAATTATCTGCAATCTAATTTAGGCAGTTGATAAAAATAAAATTAGAGAAAAAGATCTATAATAACTGAGCGCTGGAAAGTTGTGCCTGTATTATAGAGAAAGATGTAATATATTCTTATTTTATATAAAAAGTGAATATATATAAAACCAAACATTGCATATTTCTGTATACCACGCACAACTTTTCAGCGTTCAGCTCTTTTTTTATAGGTCCTATTTTGCAATTGCATTTTTTACTGAGTGTCTCGGGGTTCTTGCATTAATTATTTTTGTCTTTAGATAGTTAACTATTTAACTCTACTATCCTCAAAATATTACGTCGATTAAATGAATAGTCATTAAATGAATAGTCTTAGGTACAATAGAAGTACATAAGTGTAGAAAAACAATACACATACAAAATTAATACATAAGGAAGTTATGCAAATAGCCGCTAATAACTTTTATAAATTGACGCGACTTAAAATAAAGTAAAGAGGAAGAAGACATTAAACTCATTCAAGATCGGTTCAGCTTGTTGTTCATTGAGAGCATCGACATACCTATATTGTCTTTACTGTGTTTTTAAATTGGCGAATGATAACGTTTAAAGACACCCGAGACAATATCGGATTTCACAAAGAACCACACGACTTAAACATAATAGCATATTCATCGTGTAACACAGCGTTTCGACGTATTTGCGCGGATTCATTGGTCGCAATGTGAAATCCGATTGCAGCATTCAATCGCGGTTTTCAGCGGTTTTCTCGTGCTCTCAGCTCCAGCGGCAACAGGATTTTTTTCTTCGTCGTGACGTCTCAACAATCGCCGCGTTCGGGTCAGGTCGGTCCTCTTTTCTGCGGTGTAACATTTGGAAATGTGCCACCGGCGGCATGAAAACGGTAGGAAGTGCGGAACTCCGCGCGTTCTCGGTGTTGTGTTGTTTTTTTTTCTTTTTTACAATCTTCCCTCATAGCCGAGTAACGGCCGGGATAAATATTGCGGCAACGGGGTGTGCAGACGCAAACGCGTCGGAGGGAGTTTGTATTGTTGATAAAGCGGAGCGATGCCGTCCGATAGCACGATGATGTCGCGTCACCTGCCTCTCCGAGCCCGTACGTCTCCGTGCTACTCCTTCGCGAAAGCCGCGTAACAAGAGAACAAGGTGAAAAACGACCGCATCTCCGGCGGTAAATTGACGGTTTGAGACGCGACAGGATCGTTACGTCGCGCGACAGCGCCGAGATTTCTTTCCTCCGGTGGCCAGAAGCGATTTCAGGAATTGGACCACCCGCAACTTTGACAGCGTGTAGTATCAATCTTAAGTGGATTTAGCACGTTCCGCGCCTTGGAAAAATGAGCGTCCGCTCGGAAGGATTCTCGCGGGTTTGAGAAATTGCATTGAGCATTGGTGAAGATAATCGGGAAATTAGAAATAGTGGAGAGACGGACGAGAAAGTAGAACGATCGTTGGCAGGGTACATTGAAAAATCGTGGAAAATTTACCATTAAATATTGTCACTGCGTTGTGAAAACAAATCATTTAAACTAAACAAACTGTTTTAGTAAAAGTGGCAAATTTTTTGGACCTATATTAATAGCTGTTATTTGAAACTCCTTTCAAATAGGATACTCAGATTTAATTTCAGAGTAATTAGATAAAAGTTTTTAAGTTAAATCACGATTATAGATAAAATGTCACATGAATCATATCATTCAATTGAAAAACTTGGGTCTGTTTCTGAATAAAAATCTGAATATCTCACTTGAAACAAGTTTCAAGTAACAACTATTAATACAGGTCTCAGAGACGTATTAGGTCAAAATAATTCCACAAGTTTATATAGATTGTTTTTCTATAGCGTACCCTTGCTGAGAAATTCACACTTCCGAAGTTAGAATCTATATAAAAAGCATTTCCAAAAATAATGTTTACATTTCTTTCCATATTTTGATAATCTTTGTATTATTTTTATATTAAGCGAAGATTGTCAAAATGTTTTGATACATTTTTTGACATTACGTCAGGGAGTTAAGGGACAAATCATTTCTATTTTTTAATCCCTAAGCGAGTAGGATTCTTTAAATTTTTTAGATTTCGCAAATTTAAAAAAAAATCTTGTTTGATCTTGAAAAAAGCGAGTGGTTTTCGAAAAAGACGTATTTGGACGGTAGTAAGACTTTAAAGTAGTAAAGTAAATAGTAAAACAATAAGATAATGATTACATAATAAAACAAAATTGAACTAAGTTAAATTTAATTGAAAAAAATATATTTATCTCTGAAATCATAATAAATGTTCAATATAAGCATCCTTTATTTCAATGCATACCGATATATGACAGTTTGAAAATTGCTGTACCCATAATAATATCCTACGAAGTGCTCGTATTGTACATTTATTATGACTTTGGACAAATAAGCAGCCTTAACAATAGAGTTATTGAAAGAAATATGAGGTCAACAAAAATCAATAATTAAATTATCCCTGGTTGAGGTAGTATTTTTCACAGCTTTAAATAGGAATCAAAAGATATGTACAATGGGGTTTTCATGAGATAATTTTTTAATTAAAATATTAATAGTAATTGGGATTCAAAGTCGTTGAACGTTTAACGTTTCACTCACCGCGTACATTGTAAGACCGCAAAAGTATTCGGCGCGTGCATTTATACAGTTAAACGATATTAATAATTTCCCATAATTTAATTACTCGCACTAACACTCAGCGTACAGCTCTTGTTAGCCTTCTATTTCTCTGAAAAATTGTTCAATTGGCAAAACTCATCGACGCGCTTCTTCTTGTTACGTCAGCTATTATGAAGTGTTACATCAATAGAGAAATATAATAATGGCAAATAATAAGAAGTTCTTCTCTTTCATGTTTGCAGCGGTATCTTCATTGTTTTCGTTATTAACCGAGTTTTCCTCCGTGCTCGTTGAAACATTATAATTGTAGTTAGTAAAGTCAGAGATATTATAACGTTACCTCGTGAAGGTCAGGTCGGGTCAGAGAGTGGGAAAAGAGAGTTCATATACATCAGGGGAACTGTGCGGTGTGCTGTGGGATGGAAACGCGTAAGAGAATTTTTCGAAAATTGTGTCTGCGCGCGCCACGCCACACACCGCGCCACCATATTGCTCCACGTCCACACAAAATTTTTCGCTGAAACGTTTGCCGTCATCAATATCGCACGCGTACGGATGCACCGCGTTGTGCATCGTTTTAATATTGGAGGCCTGTCAGCGCGCGAGCATTTTTCGTCGCGCGGCAAAAAGCGCCGGGTGAGTCGCCGCTGTTAAGAATGGATCTGACCAAATTGTGGCAAGCAGGGGTCGAAAGAAGGCGCGACCGGAAAACGTGAATATCGGACGAGGGAAGCGGGGAAAGGGGGTGACTGGCTGAGGGTCGGACCTACAACTCGGCCGTTATTACGTGCACGGTTTCTTATTCCCCGCGGGGCGATACGCGTTCCATTTCCATTCAACGAATTTCTTGTCGCGTTCTACGACGCCGAGGCGGGATCGTTGTAGTAGTCGTCGGTTATACGTAAAAGTCCCAGCAGGGGAAGTGCACCGCGGCGCGGAATACATCTTGCGTGCACTCGAAGACCTGCACTTCGAAACGTGATGGATAATGTGGCAATAATACCGGTCGTTTCGATAACCAGATATAAATTGGATATTCGCGTTTTATGGCGGTGTGTGAGTATAATGGGGGAGAAACTCCACGATCAATGTCACAAGCAAGTTATTAACTGGCACGCAGAGAGTATTTTGTAGTAAGAATTGCGATAGAATATTATAATCGACGAGTAGATTGACATTCTGCAGCAATTGACTATTCTTTCATTTTATATGTTTTAGGGTTTAGGGTTTTAGTTACTTATGTTTTAAGGATTGAAAAGTGCTATTAAAAAATTTGCTACGCTTCCAGCGAAATTTACTACGCTGAGAGAAAAAATAAGAAATATTTATTTATGCGAGTGTGCTGATAACATATTTACTCACATCTAAATTCTTTAAATGGAATAAGCAATTGATTTCATGGAAAATTAAGGTTTCAAGAAAATATATATTTTTTTTATTTGAAAAATATTTTATATTTGTATAAATAAATAAACGTTATCGATACTTATCGAATATTTTATTTCCTAAATATTTTTTCTCTCAATATATGTTCCTTAATAAAATAAATCTTGCTGACAGTCTATTTCTGCATTACTGTAGAAATATATTCTCTCTCCCCCCTTGTAGAGAGTTCAATATTTTATATATTCAATAATGGTTAGTTGCCCTAATGGGTGTAATGGATATTGTAATATCTTCTTTTTCATATAAATTCATTATGTCTCTTGAAATTTGATTCTTGTGTCATTTTTCAAACATGTAAATGTAGTCCCCCGACGAAAGCCATCGTGACACTGAGAACTTTTATTGCGCGGAATCAATTTGTCTCGGGGGAAAGTATTACATGTATCAGCACGTATATACGTACTTGCTGCCGTGCGAATCTTTACCGACATTAAAACAACCCGAAGTAGTTCCTACAATGGTAATCTGGTAATCCGAGTAAGTTATTACTAACTGGGACAATTCGTGCTGAGTTAATACACAGCGGATGATACCGAATGTGATGTTTAAATAGCGTACTTCTGATAATGGGCCGACGATTCCGCGAGAGGGAGAAGATATGGCCCTCTATTTCCCTCCGAGTTTCTCTCGCCGCTGCGCGTCCGTTTCGGGAAAATAGCGAATAATACGACTGAGCTAGATTCATACGCGGATAATGAAAATTTCTTGAATGGAGATACTTATCTACTTATTATGGCGACTTCTCGTTACGCTCGGGCGCGCTTGAATTTCCGCTATTTCGCAGTAATCGCATACATACAATAAATTCCGCCGCAGTAGATTCCTCAATGTCATGTTCCTACGTTAATATTATACCCTATCCCTCCTTCACTCACCCTCCCATTTTCATTTTCATGTCGCTGCTGCGACCGACGGAAACCATCGTTTGCAACGCTCTACGAATATCCTCTTCTCTCTCTCTTCTCTCTCTCTCTCTCTCTCTCTCTCTCTCTCTCTCTTTCTCTCTCTTTCTTTCTTTCTCTGTGTTAGCTTATCATCCAATATCAATGGGATTTATCAAATTTTTAAAGCATCAAAAGGAATAAAGTTTTTTCATATATGAGTATTATCATCCATTTTCCGTTGCAACAGCTCGTGCAGCCATTGGTGAGTTAACAATAACAGAGAGCAAATACAAATCTCAACAAAAGTTTTATGTGGGTTGCAACTTGCCGGCGGAAATGGCGGACATAAAAGAAATCTCGCGGGATAAGCAGAAATGGCGGTGCAAGCCGCGGGAAAGGCGCCCGAGAAAATATTTTAACTTGGGTTTTGGCCTCCCGCGACGTGACAGATCATATTCAAGCGTGGTAATCTACTTACGTCATAGCCAGAGAATTCTCCTTTTCCGGGCGGCCCCGGCGGACCTTGCGCTCCCTTTTCGCCGGGTATTCCGTCCCGACCCGGCTCGCCTTTCTGACCTTGAGGACCTTCCGGCCCTGGTATTCCAATATCACCCTTGTCACCTTTCGCCCCGGACGGACCGTGCAGCCCTCTTTCCCCTGGCGGTCCTGCCGCACCCTGCAAAATCGTAACGTTACCCTCGTAATTAATTGCAGTGTCGTTTATACGCGACCAACCGAAGCGCCAACCGACGATGATGTACTTTTCAATCACAAATGTCAGGTTTTTTAATAGAAGGCGAACGGAGAATGTTTTGTATAATATTCGCTGTTCAGATAGTGATTATTCTGGGCGTTGTTTCGGTAAAAATATCGTAAACTTTGGTTTATCCTAGTTTAAGTTACATCATTTTCGGTGCTTTGATCGATAGCAGCGTAGACTCGTGTGAGCAAAAATCGACGTACCGTAAGACCCATTAGGCCCTGCTTTCCTTCTTGTCCCGGCACTCCCGGCTCACCCTTCGGCCCTTGTATCATCTTTGGCATCGTAAAGGAAGACATTAAGGCCGTGGCGTTGCAGGTGCAAGTGCCAGGGTCTCCCTTCTGACCAGGTGGTCCCTGCGGTATCTTCGTTAGCAAATCCTTTAAAGATCGATAGATTAAATATTACCTTCCGTCATGGTTGATACACATGATACCGTAATGAATCATTTACGACGTTACTTATATAATATTGAGCATTGAAACACTGTCTATTACTCTAGCGATATGTACTCTCTTGTAACGAAATTTCATTTACCGTAAGTCAGACTGAATAACGAGTTAAGAATGAAAACTTCTCCATCATGCTCTTTTCCTCGTGTTCCTTTTCATATCCATCTAGTTTCGCGCAAGCTATTACCAACTTTCAACACGGCGCGCTGCAATTGGATTTCAACGGTGTCCAAAACCGATTAAGTACGTATATCGCGTATGTAATAACGGAGGAAGATCGCGAGTGCTGCGAAAGCGGCTCCGGCGTAATCAGTGTAACATGCGACGGACGCCGTTTCACCACTGTCCATACTAAATTGACTCACGCGAATAACAAGATAAATGAGTGATCCCGGATTCAGGCGCATTCAGGTCGCCTTCACGTCGTGCCTATACTACGCGTTCGCATCACCCACAGTTAACGCGTTAATGAAATATTTATATGTATAAGCAAAGCCTCCTCCCGATACTAATAAAATCGCAGGCCGCTGTATACACGAGTAATTTCAGTCAATTCTACGTGTTATTCGAGCGTAAAAGTTTATGAATTGTCATCAGATTCTCGCCGCCGAAAGAAATCACACAGAGAAAAGAGATTTTCTGTCACAACTGAAAACCTCGTTAACTTAGCAAATTTTACGAATTTTCTGTCTGCATAGGATTTGTAGTTGAACTTTGAAAAGTTTGATATTGCAGCACGGCAGAATTATTAGTATAGCAAAGACGATTCTCTACCACAACCAGTAGAAAATGTGGCTCAATATATGCAACTAATTTTTTTGTTCAAAGGAAGTTTGATACATTAACGAATTTCATTACAGATAAATAATTAGTTACTTCAGCAATAGAAGTTAATTAAAGCGACAGAGTGCTCATTGAAATCTTTGGAATATTTATTCCGCAACTATCTAAATAACATAATAAAATATTATAAATTTAAATACACATATGTGTGAAAATAATATAATTTATGCCAATATATTGTATCACAGATATATACATAGATAGTTGTTGGTGTACAGAGAAAAACTGTAATTGCGTAATAACGTATTTTTCATTGCTAGTACTAGCAAATCTGCTTGGTTATGACGCTTAATTTCTTACCCGGCAAATTGCACTGAGAGAAAATACTTAAAATTTTACTTATGGAATATAAAGTTTATTCGCTGAAGTAAACTTTATTTCGCAGAAATCAATATTTCACGGAAATAAAGTTTATATCCCATAAATAATTTTTCTGGTATTCTTTTCTGAATATATTAAATATACTGAGAGGAAAAATATCTAAAAAATAAATATTTATTTGATAAGTGCTAACAACATATGTTATTAGTTATATTATACTAATATATTTGCATATGTTATTAGTTATATTATACTAATATGTGTGCAAATTCTTATATTGAGAAAAGATTTCTTTGAGAAATGAGAAGATAAATATTTTTCTAAAACAACACCGTTATTTTTCACGAAAGCAATTATTTATTCTATTTCAACAGCATAAATTAGATTTGAGTAGATATTAGCATCCACCTCAAATGAATATTTGTTATCTTTCAGATATTTTTTCTCTCATATAGATAGTATAGATTTGCCAGATTAACCAAACCATTCTTTTCTTGCGCTCTTTTTCATCGCTGTTACCTAGCCTAAACTCAGATCAAAAGAAAGTACGCCGATATGCTTACCTCATCACGACCAGGCGGGCCCGGAGGCCCCGGGGGACCCCTGACGCTCTCGCCCTTGTCTCCTTTGTCACCCTTTTCACCTTTCGGGCCTTTATCTGAAAGAGCAACGCGCGGCTATGAGTCCACGCAACTCCGTCAACGCCGGCTGTTTTGACGCGCGGAGTGATTTATGCGCGCGAAAAGTAGATTAAAAAAGTTCGCTTCATATTTTATCATCGTTTCTTCGACGCGATACCTTCGTAGGCGACGGTGCGCATCGACGTCGGCCACGGCGAAATTAATAAACGATTTTCAACGCGCCGTCCTCGTTCCTCAGGATTTAAAAAATAAGAGAAAAGGAAAGATGCATCGACGCGTTCCCGGTGCATTCATTAGTCGGGAAGGTGTTAGATTACCCCGGGATATTGACGAGATCCATTGATTGAATTCAAAAGACTAATGAGACAATAGAGATTGGTCAGCTTCGTGTATCATACATTCTTGCGACGCGGACATTCTCTTTCGGATGACACAACGCGATTCTAATAGCGATTAAAAAAATTGTCACGGCAGTTTCCCGCCGGTTTTACTCACAATCTGGATTCGGGGGCGGGGGTGTGATGAATGGCGGCGGGTTACTTTCGTCGCTTTTGTCTTCGTCCGCATCACGACCGATCTGAAAATGTATCACAAGCATGCCGATAAAATCGGATTGCGCTGTCTCGTGGTCGATACATAATACGACGACTGCGCCCGGCCTCGTCGCCGGTTTGCCAATTCAGGATTCGATGCGGCACGAGAGCGGGGAAATTGTACAGACGCTTTATTTACAGCGACATTTAGTTGCGACGAAGATAGCATAGAACAGCGGCCAGTTTATATCGATCGTTCGCTGATTAGTTATTTTATATGCAAATTACAGCTATATATTAAGCCGCAATGTTGAAACGACGCGCGGGAATGCGTCAACTGTTTTTGATTAGCTTCGCGACAAATATTTGCCAAGTGTTTATATAACAATCAGTCAAACGCAAACGTTTGCGTAACGCCATTGAAATTCATGAAAACCGCATGAACGGGAATTTTTGCACGATGACGTGACAAGAGACGGGAGTGTCGAGATGGATTTGAGGTAAACTCGCGAGTCGACGAATAATTATTCACGATGAGATGGAAATTTTTTTTTAACAGCCCAGACATGTGTTGTAAAAAAATTGTGTGCTAAATTTAACACGTTTCGCATATGTTACGATGTATCTATTTTAGTTTTTCTATTAATTCGACACAAAGCACATATGTCAACAAATAACTCTAATGACGTGTCGAAGATTAATAAAAAAATGTAACACTTGAGCACTTGTTATTTTAAGTTTATACCCCTGCAGGAAATAACTTTATTTCGCAGGAATGAACTTCATTTCACGGAAATAAAATTTATATCCCACAAATATAAATTTCCAACTATTTTTTTTTCTCAATGTAATTCTCTGAGAAAAAAGTATCTAAAAAATAAATAATATATATTCGATGAGTACTGATGATATATTTATTTGTATTATTAACATACTTGTACTAATACATACATATTTTTAGAGAAAAATTTCTTTCAAATAAACTTAGAAATGACGAATACGAATTCAACGCAGAATAATCAAAATAACACAATGGTAATATGTTGAGTTAATATACACGAGTGTGTTACAAATTTAACACACTAAGGATTTCTAGACGGATCGGTCTTAGCACAAGTGCAAAATATTTCTTACCGCGTGTGACATGAAAAAAGAAAAAAATGAATCGTGAACTGGAGAATCAAGAAAAGAGATGAAATTCATTATTGGTAACCATGACGAGGTAATTTCAGTGTGTAACACGATACCCCGTTCTTACGCTTCATCATATCCCGTCTCTACCTCGTGCTATGACCTGCTATTGCAAATTATTAGTCAGTAGTATAAATGATTGCATGCGCCAGTTGCGAACAATCCAAGTGTCGAAGTAAAGTTCCTTGGACATGATACCTGGACCATCTTGTACGTTAAAAGCGAATAATACATCAAGCGGTGACGGTGATTAATGAAGTTCCAAGCCAATCAGGCAGTATGGTTAGCACACATGACACCAACCCTAAGTGTTTTCCGATAATTATCGGTAACGATGGCGCTTTATCGGCGCTGAGTCGACGTCCAGTTCGAATTTTTCGCTGATCAAACGTTCTTGCGTTGTTGTAAAAAGGAGAAAAAAGGGGATTCGTTTTCCACCTCCGTGGTGGAAAACTGTCAAATTTCTTCAAATCCGTCGGGACTTTATAAAATTTCCAATGTCCGCGACGTCCCATGATTCAAAATTACTAACATGACAAATATTAATTAGATATTAGAGATATCTGTGAAGACTGAGCACATAAACGTTTCGTGAGTTTTTAAGGGTGTATTGTCCGTGCAAAATAACGAAAAAATTTCGAAAGAATTCATGATTAATCTGTATTGCGTTCTTAAGTGATCACTGACAATTTGACATTGATTCAGAATCTGGGTGAAGAATTGTTCTACTTTGAAGTGTAAGCCCAGCAAACATGATGACGTTAAATGACGTTTTAATATCGCGTTAATAACGTCTTTAACGTCAATAATATGTCACTAATCAATTTGATGTTATCCTGCTACTTGAGAGTAGTTCAAACCGTGCTGTTATGGAAATAAATAATGTTGCCGTATCTTTAATAAAGATAACGATTATAATTTTTATATACGTGTTTAAGTACTTTCAAAATGATATATGCAAACTTTTAAAGTTGTAGTTCAAGGATAAAAATTTAAAAGTAAAAAATAATACAAAATATAATAAATATAGGATAAAAATGTGATGTTAAAGTAAAGATATGTTATTATTCAGCTGTATCATGTGTGTATGTGTATATCGTACATTTCTTATACGGAAAATGGAAATATTAGCGCATTTCTAACTTCTAGTGCCTTTTTCCGCAAGGAACTGTACGGGCAGTACATCCTCAAAGTAGCTTACCTTTTTCTATAGTCCTCGCAGTGGCAGTGAGCTTTCAAATCAGATGTAATCTCTTGTAATCTCAAGAGAATATATTTCGCAGCACGCGATACGTAATCGCGAAAAATATATTATTACGCAAATGGTGCGAAACTCGAGCAAATCGTGTCGACGAGATTCAAAGCGGAAAACGATATCACAAAGAACGTCGCATAATAAGTGGCAGACTTAGCGTAATTATTATCTGCATCGCGTACGTATGTATAGCTTATGGTACGAATCGATGAATGCACGCTGAAATCCGCATGATGCAGGAGCGGAGAGAAATAGCTTTACCCCAAATATACATCTTTTTCGTTTGCATTAAAAAAAAAACGACCGATAGGAAATGTGATAAATATTTCAATTGGACACAATTGGACGACGCCACGTTGAAGTGGCGTTTTTGGGATAATCGATTCGATCATTTCGAATAGGGCGATTTGCGGCTGCCCGCTGCGGAATACACGATTATACGCAATAATATTTAGTTTTTCCAAATTATTATTTTTCAAATTATTATTTTTCATCGATATATACATATATGTATATATATATATTTTTCCGGCAAACCAATATTTTTTGAAGCGCTTTAATGAAAGGAAACTTCGTAGCAGGCTGTAATTCTCGTAACAATAAAGATCCTGATTTTTTCGATCCTGGATTTTGCAATATTTTTTTTCAACGAACTTTTTAGTTACATCGCGTTTCGGGATACAGAGGCGCGTGCGAATCTCGAACAAAAAACACATTTGCAGCATCTGTCGCGCGCGATTGCAATAACGCGTGGCGTCGAATAAAATAAAAGGAGTATTCGCGATGTCTACTCTCGTATGTAACTTAAACATTTATTACGCGCGGTTTTTCGCTTATCCCATGTCACAGTAGATTTATAATTTCGCATTAAAATTACCGCCCTTTATTATCGAGAGCGTAACAATTATTCACAAGTACGGTTTACGCACACGGGAATTTAGAAAATAAAATGACAATAATACATAAATAAACATTATAATGCGTTGTAATGGGAATCTACGGTGCGCGGGATATCGTTATTACATATTTTAATGCGGCCGCAGAGCGCGCGCACAGAAAAACACACACAAACACACGGACATAGCAGTGTAATCGATCGTTATTACCTCACTTTTGTATTCGTCCGACTTCGTCGAGATTTATGGAGTACCTACATAATAATGACCCCCTCCCCTCAATTCTTACATTCAGTATTCGCGCGACCACGCGAGATTTACAGCGTACGGTCCGGCGGTAGTTTGAATAATTATGCGTTTCGACTTACACACGAGGTTACATCGCGAAGCGGCGAAAACGCGCGTCCTGGGAGTACGGCGTTTCGCGTGGCTATTCGACGACGACGAGGAAAGTTTCAGTTAGCTAGCTAGCTAGCTGGGTGACTACTTGGCTACCCAGCTACCCAGCTACCTAGCTACCTGACTAGGCAGGTAGCTCGTCGTGTTTAATTCGTGCTTTTTTTCCCATAGACACCTACGATGTAGGGATTATGCACGTATTCATACACACGTAACGCAGCCGCATACGCGTGTACGCACACACAAATACACACACGCGCATCACGCGCGTGTTACATATACATACACACGTGCGCGTGTACACGGGGAACCGTGAAACGGGCGTGTAACACCTGCCGCACGATCGCGGTAACACGTAGCGCCGTAACGACACGTCGCTCCCGCGAACGCGCTCCGGGCGTACCATTGAAATCGTTCACCCGGTACATACACCCTGATCAGCTCTCCCATGCACGACCGCGTCTTTGCATCCCGCCGTACATTCCCGGGGCTTTCCGCGAGAGTGGGATTTTACGGGTGAAATAAATTCCGCTCTCTCTCCGCGCGAAGAAAAGCCCCGTGCGAGCCCCCGCTACGAACTTCGACTGAATTTCCAGGCGAGCGGGCGAGGATCCTACGAGAGATTCGGGATGACGCGGGATTGGTATCATGAGAATACGCATTTACTGTTATTTGTTCGATATATCGCGAGCCCCACTGTCGGGCGAACGTCGTAGGCTGAAACGTCGGGTCAATTCGCAGAGTTAATATACATTGTTGGCTGTTTCGTACGATACCGCGATGTGGCCCTTCATTTAATTATTATAAGCAGTGAAGTGCTCTCCAAATTTCCGGACCACGCTGAACATCGTAATAATTACCAGTTCCTGTGTTTATACCTTGCATTTAATGTTAAAGGTCTGCGGGCGTCAGGCGCCAGGAGCAAATCCTGATTTGACTTTGGAGGCCTCGCGCGGTGAGAACACAAAATACCGTTCTACGTGTGTAGTTGTATACACGCGAATATATCAATGCATCGCTCGCACGGACGCAAAAGCTGGTAATGCAGCTGGGCTGCGCTTTTTGTGAAAAAATTACTATCTGCAATCTTTCGCATTTCGTCCCGCAAATGTTGTATTTGTTCACTTGATTATTTTTACGATATTTCTTACAAATGTATTAAATACAATACAGAGCCGGATTTTGCAATTAGCTCCTTACAAACTTATAGTGAATTATAGTATGGATTCGTATACTGTGCACTTTCCGTGCAGTATTCATTCAAATATATGATTTGATATAAAAACATTTTTTTATCTTTAAA